GGGACCTGAACCTGTTCAGCCTTCAAAAGAGAAGGCTGAGGGGGGATCTTGTGGCCTGTTATAAACTGGTTAGGGGGGATCAGCAGGCGCTGGGGGAGTCCCTGTTCCCCCGAGCGCCGCAAGGAGTGACCAGGAACAGTGGTCACAAGCTGGCGGAGGGAAGGCTTAAGTTGGACATCAGGAGGCGCGACTTCACGGTCAGGGCGGCTAGGGTCTAGAACCAGCTTCCAAGGGAGGTGGTGCAGGCTCCCACCCTGGGGGTTTTTAAGAGGAGGTTGGATGACCACCTTACTGGGGTCGTTTGACCCCAGTGCTCTTCCTGCCGTGGCAGGGGGTCGGACTAGATGATCTGCTCAGGTCCCTTCCGACCCTAGAAACTATGAAACTATATGCAGCAAATGGTAATTCTGGCTAGCCCCACTCCTCCAGCTTGCTGCATAGGAGGGTCTGTGAGACTGTGCCAAAAGCCTTATTAAACTGCAGGTATGTCACATCCCTGGTCAACGAGGGTCGTCGCATCAACGTGACACGACCTGTTCTTGGGAGCTGAGCACGCTTAGTCTTTCCCAGGGCTGAGTCCAAAACCATTGACTCTTCTGTGCATGAACATGGATGAACTGCCATGTCCCAGAGCTGATTGCACGCTTGGAAACCACGAGTCATGGTATCTTTCATGTCACAAAACATGCTTTGTGCCTGTCCTGCTGTCTGTGCCTTGGCAAGGTGGAGTTGACGGCTGCGTGGAGAGAGACCCGTCATCCCTAGGGTATCAGTACACCAACAGTCTGTTGCAGAGGTGCTAATCTCCCTCCTTGTCTGTAAAGGGACCATGCCCGAGGGAACGAGGAGCTGGCCAAGCTGTATCCAGACCTGTGTGTATATGGCGCTGACGAGCGGATCGGGGCCCTGACGAACAAGGTGACTCACAATGAGGTGTTAAAGGTACGTTGGTGCATGTTGTAGCTTAGCTTCTGCATGGGTTGGGGATCTTGGAGCTCATTGCAAACCGTAGCAAACACAGCTGCCTGCAGACAGGGTGCAAGCATGGGAAGGGGCTTGTTTTTGAACCCGTTGCGCACTTATTTCGAATACGTTTGCTTTTTCTGTCGGTGTGAACCCGTGTTTAGGAGGGAGGCAGTGAGACAGGCCGGGGCTACACCTGCTCTGCTGCTGACTGCATCTTTGTGTAGGTGTGTGCAGGATCCTGTGTTCATGGGAATCTCCTGCATGGCAGGAGGTCGGATGATGATAAAAAGTGGCAGCAAAAATCTCTCCAGTGTCAACAGGTGGCAGCATCTCACCGGGGGAACTAGGGCAGTGGGGGCTGAGCTGCCTGCATATATTGCAAAGGTTTGCCTGGAGATGCTGCTTGCAAGTTGTGTGTCCATTTGCATTTCATGAACCATCCCCGCCTCTCTGGGTGGGAGATCCAGCTGGGTCTGCATCAGGATTTTGCAGCCTGTCTCCGGTCAGAACAGATCATGTGGATGATGCGTATAGCTGAGTTTATATGTACTATAGGGACACAAAGACAGGTGCTTTTCAGTCTTAATCACCATCTCCCCATCTGTAATAGTCCTGCCTGCGAATCTGAGTATTTGCGGTACTCTGAAACGTTGGGACGAGGGAGATTGCCACGTGCAGCTGAGCATAATTTCAGCTGGTTGCCCTGTGTCTGTTGGCATTGCTGGTAGGGGAACGGGAGCCTGTTCTTCTGTGCCTGTCCAGGGGAAGTCTCTCATCTCTCCCTTCTCACCTTTTGGTGGCCTGTTTCTTGCTCAGGCCATGCAGCTGTGGTCAGCGAGGGAGGGAGGGACAGCAGGGCTCATCAAACGTGGCTTGGGCCAAACCACAAACTACTTCTCCACTGTGAGAAACCGGCTCCCACGTGCTTCCAGACCAGGACCAGCACCAAGGGCTTCTGGCCCATGATCGGGGCTACATCAATACAAATAGTAACCAGAAATAAGAGTTGGGCTGTGCTTTGTCTGCCCTGACGGACTCTTTGCCTCTGCAGTTTGGAGACATTAATGTGAGATGCCTCTTCACCCCCTGCCATACATCGGGTCACACGTGCTACTTCATGTGGGAAGATAACTCCCCGGATGCGCCGGCGCTGTTCTCAGGTATTGGCCCTTGGCCCAGAGTATCTCAACTCCTCTCACACCCCTGTGAGGTAGGGCAGCATCACCCCCATGGTACCCATGGGGATCTGGGGCACAGAGGAGAGTAACCAACCGGGTCAAGGCTGCACAAGGGGTCTGTGGTGGAACTGGGACTTGAACCCAGGTCTTTCGAGTCCCAGGTTTAGGCCTAGGTGGACAGCGTGGGGTAGATGGCCATGGTAGTACCCCTGGCTTCTCTCTGCCTGCATGCTTCCCACCTCCTTTGCTGGCGTGGGGAGACAGAGCTCGCTCGCTTGAGACAATGCATCTTCCCTGCCCAGGCGACACCTTGTTCGTGGGCGGCTGCGGGCGGTTCTTCGAAGGGACGGCCGAGCAGATGTACAAAAACCTGATGGATGTCCTGGCGGCTTTGCCGAAGGAGACGGTGAGCGTGGTCCCCCCCGGCAGCCTGTGTGCGTGCGCTCGGTCGGTCCGTCCCCTCTCACTTGCTCCGTCTCCACCTGGCTCTTGGAGCAGGCAGGCAAGGATGTCCTATGGCAGCTCTGGTCACCTTGGAGAGCCTCGCTCCTTCTGGAGTCTCTCCTTGCCACGTGCCACTTGGACACGCTGTCCCACAGCCCTTCCTGAGGATGCTGGGCAAAGACAGCCCCTTGCCCAGGAAGAAGGTGCCTATGCCCACGGGAGGGAGAAGCACTCAAGAGGCTTGACACTGAGAGGGGGTGGCCACTTGGCTTCTGCGCTCCAGGCGCATCTCGCCAACCCCTGGGATTTGGAAACCCAAGTGAGCTGGTTTTCCTGGTGATGCAGCCCATGCACCTGCCAGCTGGTTCGGCCTGTCTCTGGGAGGGGTGACGCCACTCAGCAGCACCTTTCCTGCGTGGCACGAGCCAGCCCGGCAGCTACGACCTGCCCCAAGGCACCAGGCCTGTCCTTGGCTTGAGGGCATAGTGCTGTGTCCACGAGGCAGCCCAAGGTGCTCTGTGACTGAGCGCCAAGCCTAGAGCTCTCCTCTAGTAGCTCTTGTCCACCGGCGTGTCCTCATGGGAGGGGCGCTGGCTAGAGATCCAGTGCAGAGGCCCGTACCACAGCTGCCACCGTCCCACCCGTGGCTTGGCTCCTGCTTCCAGCACGTGCTGGTTGCTTGGAGCCAAACCCGGTGCATTAGACGTGGGCGTTGCAAAGGCTGTCCTGTTTGTGCTGCAGAAGGTGTTCTGCGGGCATGAATACGCCGTCCGAAACCTCAAGTTCGCCTCGAAGGTGGAGCCAGAGAATGAAAACGTGAAGAAGAAACTTGCGTGGGCCAAAGTAAGCGCCCATTTCCCCTGAGCAGGGAGGGGGCGGTGAGCACTAGATGAGTTTCCCCTCCAATCTGCCTCTGCACCTGTCACCGTGGGGTTAGGGCATCTCTCGGCACCTGCGTCTGCTTCCCACGCGGGAGCTTGATGATCGGGGCCTGATGAAGCCTGTGGTTCCTCTCAGCTCCGCGATGACGAGGACCTGCCCGCGGTGCCCTCCACGCTGCAGGAGGAGTTCCAGTACAACCCCTTCCTGCGGGTCTCGTGAGTAGCACGCAGTCCCCTGCCTGGCCTCGGGGCTTGGCTTGGGTTTAGCCCTCGGGTGACGTATGTTGTAGAGGAAGGGAGATCAACGGCGGCATTCCCTGCCGTCTTGCTAGTGGGAAAAGCATGAGGCTAGGGCAGGGGGTTTCTCTCAGGTCTCTTCACCTCTGGGAGATCTCATCCCTGCCTGGTCCTGTCTACAGAGGTTTGCACCCTCTCTGCTGGTTGCCTGTTCCCTCCATTAAAGGGCAGTGGGGAGAGACCAACCCCAGGCAGACTTTACCCCCATCCCCCTTGGCGGAAGCCACGGATGGCCAAAATCCTGCATAGACTTGCAGCGAGGCCGCTAAGAGCTGCTGTACCTTTTGCAGCACCCTAAATGGCCTTTCTCTGGCAGGGAAGAAGCCGTGCAGAAGTTCACGGGCAAGACGGATCCGGTGGACGTGCTGCGCGCTCTCCGCATGGAAAAGGACAACTTCAAGAAGCCCAAAGAGCGGCTGAACCCCCAGGCCATGCTGGCGTTCGAGTGGGGGCTCTTCAGCCCCTTCCTGGAGAAGAAGTGAAATGCCGCTGGGTTGCTCCCGTCGTTTCACTTGAGAGCCACTGGAACGTAGGGTCGGTGCTGTCGAGAGGCAGTGCCCTATGGGGGGGGGAGTTCCCCGCGGTGCGTTGCAAAGGGTTGCATCCGGTCTAGATGAATCGGACACGTGGGGCTTCCTTGCACGAGGGTGCTGGTCCCTGTTACTCGGTCCAAGTCTCTGTGTTGATCCATTTCCCCCCCAGCTGTAACTGCTTCTCTTAGCCCTGCCTTTTAGGTGAGTGCTTTAAAAACTAGCTGCATTTTAGTAGACCGTGGGTTTGTAGGACATGGGACGAATTGTATGTAGATGTACGTGGGTGTATTTAGGGTTGTGATGGGCCCATTTTTCATAAGTCTTAAGCGTCCTGCTGCTACCCAGCTTCTGAAGGGCATTTTGAATCTAATCCTCCAAGCGATTATCGGGGCAAGGAAGACTGCATGGAGCCAGGCTGGCCAGTGGATGGATGCAGCATTGGAAAAATCAGTTCTGCTCAGTACTAGGTTGCCTCTGTCCTTTTCTTTCTAAAGTGCTTTTTCCAACCTGATTCCAGGCTCAGAAGTGCTGCGGTTGCAGCTTGCTGCTTTCTCAGTGTTAAGGGAAGACGCAGTTGTCTTCAGAACAGTAAAATGTGATCCAAGTGACCGTTATTGGATTGTAAGGTGATGGCTGCTTATAGATGAAGAGGATAAAACAGGTTTGGCCCTTTGAGTATGGCAGGCAGTAAATAGGAGGAATAGGCAAGACTTCAAAGTATGCCTTTTAACCAGAAAAAGTAAAATTCAGCAGTGAGGTTATTAGGATGAGTGCTTTGAAAGGGAATGGACTTGTCTTTTGGCAGAGTATTTAGCCAGTATCTATGTCTCACTCAGCAGCAGCTCCCCATGCTTTTCAGTAATCCAGAGGTAGGATGTTCTCAGGATTTACAGAGCAGTGATTTACGTAGTGTGGCCTTCCACAGAAATTAAACCCTGCAACGTGCTTCCCGGTAGAAGCCAGGCTGATGGACTGGCACTGCCCCCAGTCCTCAGTCTTTGCTTCTCTCCTCCCCATGCCCTTTCCTGTCCATCTGTCTTGATACAGGGCAACTACAGTCTGGGAGCCTGATCCCCAAGACTTCTGCAGTGCTTGACTGTGTGCAGTTAACAGTGGGATTAGTTGCCTGTTAAGGCCCTAAGGGTCTATAGGGGATCAGGCCCTCAGGGTAACAGGCAGGGGTTGCTTTGCTCCTTTTCTCCTACCATGGACGTGGAGAGAGGCCTCTTTCAAATGCATGGTGAAATGGGTGGAAGAAATCTAGAACAACCTTGTAATGAAGTCACCGTTTATTGAGCAGCGTCAGCTTTTTCTAAGGCCAGATTTTGCTTTTGGCGTGGGCTTGTTGGAGTTAGCCACACACTTCTAAACTAGCAATGAAAACAACAGAAAGGCTGGTGTTCAAAATCCAGAATGAGCCACGCGGCCTTTCTTGAAGTGAGGGGCGGGGTGTGTGTAAATAGCTGTGAGAATTAGTGTGGTCTTGTTTGGCTGGAAATACTCCAAAGGTCAAGGTGCAATGTTTCACGCACCCAGACTTGTTAGCAGGGGACCTGGGATCTGCATCACTTCCTCTGGTCACTTGAGCAGTGTGTGCTGCTAACTAAACTGGGAGCCTTCTCCTCTGCTCTGCACAGTTGTAAATGAGAACAGGGGATGCAGAATTCGGCCTAATACTTCCATCACGTAACACCTCTAAACATGGTCTTTTTCCACTTGGTGGTTTCTAGCATTGGAATAGAGCTGTGTGAGTGGCTGGCTTGTGTTTTCGGTTGCACCGAGCTGGAAGACGCATTATCACCTGGTTAATGGACAGATTTTTCTACCACTATATTTGGCTTTTTAATCGACAGTTGCGCTGGGTGTCATTTGTTGCTAAACAGGAAGGGAAAAATTAATATCTGCCACTAGAGCTGCACCAGTTTTAGGACTCGAGAGACAAGTTAGTCTTTATGCACAGGTTGTACTGCTGGAGGTTGACCATGCACTGCCAAGCATGTAGCTGGCACCTGAATGTGACCCCAGCGCTCCCAGCTGATGAATGTCTATGCAGCAGTCAAAGCTGTGATTGCGACTCACATGACACTTACCTGAACTTAATTAGGTACTAATTAGTGGGGATCTAGCAGCATGCAGCTCAGGAACCCGCTGGGAAGCTTGGGTGATTCTCCTGGGCTCTGCTCCCTGCTGCAGCACCTCCACTCCTGCGAGGAACTGAGCGTAGGTATTTCAGAGTTAGTTCAGGCAGGTCTGTATGAGCTGTTAGATACCTTTTGACTGCTGGGCCATGAGCATGCACCCCTTTATTTTGCCTCTGCATTTCTTCTAGCTTTGGGAAATGGGTAAGAAACAAAATGTAGGTCACTGGGTTAATTTTACAGTGCAATAGCTAAATTTAGCAAATTTTTTGGCATTCGCTTCCAACCCCCATGGCTCAACAAAGGCATTCGAGAATGCCTGAGGGCCAAAAAGGAGGCGTACGCGTGGGGGAAGGGAGGGGCTATCACCAAGGAGGAATACTTCTCCTTGGCCCGTGGGTGTAGCAGGGCCATTAGGAAGGCCAAGGCAGGGTGGAGCTCAGGCTAGCGACCAGGATTAAAGACAACAAAAAGTCCTTCAAATACACTGGGAGTAAGAAGAGGGCACTGGGTAACGTAGGGCCCCTGCTAAACTCAAATGGTAATCTTGTGGCTATGCCAGACAAGAGCCAAAATTTTTAACAAGTTCTTTGCCTTTGTCTTCTTGGACAGGGCCCAGGACAGCTCTCCCACCACAGGTAGGGGCAATTTTGGGGATAGCACTTCCAGGCCTCGGGGCTGCGCAGATGTAGTTAGGGATCTTCTGGAAGAGCTGGATGTTTTCAAATCTGCGGGCCCTGATGCCCTCCACCCGCGGGTGTTGGGAGAGCTGGCGGGGGTCATTGCTGTGCCCTTGGCCCGGCTGTACGAGCGATCGTGGCCCACGGGCCAGGTGCCCGGAGATTGGAAACTAGCTAATGTGGTCCCCATTTATGAGAGGGAGAAAGGAGGACCCAGGAAACTATAGGCCCATAAGCCTCACATCGGTCTTGGGGAAAATCTTTGAAAAAATTATCAAGCACATCTGTGAGGGGCCAGCAGGGAAGATCATGCCCAAGGGCAACCAGCATGGGTTCATCAAAGGCAGGTCCGGCTAGACCAACCTGATGGCCTTTTATGACCAGGTAACTAAATCCCTGGATGATGGTGTTGCTGTGGATGTAGTCTCTCTGGACTTTAAGAAGGCCTTTGACACTGTCTCTCACCCCATTCTCCATTAATAAATTGAGCGACTGTGGCATTGATGCCTACAGTTGGATGGGTCAAAAATTGGCTGATGGGACGCACCCAGAGTGGTGGTGGACGGGTCGTACTCGACCTAGCGGGATGTGAGCAGTGGGGTCTCCCAGGGCTTGGTTCTAGGGCCTACACTGTTCAATGTCTTCATCAGCGACTTGGACGAGGGGGTGGAAAACGTGTTGTCCAAGTTTGCTGATGACACTGAGATGCGGGGAGAGGTAGGCACGCTCAAAGGGAGAGAGAGGCTGCAATTAGATTTAGACAGACTATAGAAGTGGGTGGATGGTAACAGGATGGGGTTCAATGTAGACAAATGCAGGGTGCTGCACCCGGGGAGAAGGAATCCACAGCACACATACAGGCTGGGGAGCTCCCCCTTGAGAGCACAGAGGCGGAAAGGGATCTTGGAGTCATTCTTGACTCCACGATGAACATGAGCCGCCAATGCCAGACCACAGCCAGCAAGGCCAGCCATACCTTGTCGTGCATCTCAAGCCGATCCAGAGAGGTGATCCTCCCCCTCTATGCAACACTGGTCAGGCCGCAGCTGGAGTACTGCGTCCAGTTCTGGGCGCCACACTTTAAGGATGAGGCCAGCCTGGAGAGGGGTCAGAGGAGGGCCACCCGGTTGGCTGGAGGGCAACAGGACAGGCCCTGTGAGGAGACGCTGAGGGGGGATTTGGTGGCTACCTAGAAACTCATTAGGGGAGATCAGCAGGAAATAGGAAGGGCCCTATTCCCCCCAGCAGCACCTGGGGTGATGAGGAATAATGGCCAGAAGCTGTTGGAGAATAGGTTCAGATTAGGGATTAGGAGGTAATACTTCACCATTAGGGTGACTAGGATCTGGAACCAACTTCCTAGGGAAGTGGTCCTCGCTCCTACCTTGGGTAAATTCAGAGAGGTTGGACGAACACCTGTCTGGGGTCGTGTGATCCCAGAGTGTGCTCTGGCCAGTGGCAGGGGGTCAGACTAGATGATCTGTTCAGGTCCCTTCTGACCCCAAATTACTATGAAACCAACTGCACACTTACACTGAACTTGGCTCTTTTGCACTTGACTACAAAGTTTAGTCGCAGCACTTCTGTATAGTGAATTTCCTGTAAAGCGGTTTAACGCTGGCATTTCTTGCTGTAATTGAAACCTATGGTTTTAACACAATACTGTGCTGTTAAACTATGCAGGAGAAAAGGGGCATTCAATGACACAAACCACCTCCCTGTCAAGCTGCAGAGAAAAAAAGCCAGATGAGAATGTTGCCTCTTCAGCACTGTGAACTCACTAATGACAATGACCACTGAAACGTGTAAAGCTTTAATTAAAACTTCATGAGTCTCATGCCATGGACTGGTTTATTCTTGGTAAGGATTTGATTAGACTTTCAAAGAGGCGGGTGACAAGGAAGTAGGTAGACAAGACTTCTTTACCAGTATAAAAGGCCATTCAACATCATGAACTACTTGACTTTTGGCAGGGAGACAGATCTCAAACTGCAGCATGAGGAGCTGCTGACTTCAGAAGCAAGAAGAGGCCAGCTCTGGCTTGAAGGCATCAAAGAAACAGATCACAGTGGTTTTTCTTTAAATATATTTAGCCTCATCCAAATCCTGCTTCTCCAGTAAAACAGGTTTAGTGAAATGGGTGTCCAAGGGTATTTTCCTGCATGAAGCAGACACAATATGTAGGCAAGGGGGCAGGAACAACAGGTAATGGTCTGATTACTGCTGTGAACGGCAGTGCCAAATTTAGAGTTGACTTGTTTCCTTATCAATGCTTTTTAAAATCTATGACTCCTACCCTCCAGCCATGTGCTTTACCTTTGTAGTTTGAGTTCCAGGTAAGCATGTGTACAAGAGTCAGGATTGGGGCCTAAATTCATTGAGAGCTAATTTAAAACAGCTTGGCGAGGAACCAGACAGAGCAGTTTTTCAAGATTTAAGCAGAAAGTGACCCATCTGCTGAGTTTTGTCCCACATAAGGGGTTGGGGTTGTGAGGGGGAAGCATTTAAAAAAGATGCACATACAGTTGCAAAGCCTGCCCATTGTGGCTGGTGCATACTGAAGAAGCATTTTAATTTTTCAGACCTGACAAGGTCCCTTCAGCTGCTCCTAAAGGCCAGTTGCTAAACTCTTTCCATTTTAAAACAAGGAAACCTAATGAGGCAGCGAGCAAGACTCACCTTGAGCGAAGGTGGAAGAGCAAGGTCAGTTTACACATTAACAACATGTATCGTTCTCAAAACCCCTAACAGGACAATTTCAAAGACAGCAAAACCAGCTCGTTTAACACACACAGACCAAGTACGCTTCTGCACAAGTAGGCTGGTATCTAGTGGGTGAGTTTGTGCATTACGTTAAACAGCTGGCATTGGTACTAGTCATGGATGGTTATTAATGTTGGGTGTGATAAATTTTGGCCTATTCCTCTCCACTCTCACAGCTGGAACAGCTGTTTTACAACAGAATGTCTGTCAACAGAGGCTGTTATGATAGTACTGAAATGACAAGAGACTGGTCTGCATTGCCCTCATGGAAAACGTGCTGTATAAGGGAAGATATCTTTTATCTGAATGCAAGGTTATTCTCTAACATTAGTGAGACAGAGGGGCTAGTAGAAGGTTAACATCCAGCTGCTAATTCATGAATGTTTGTGTGCAAAAATAGTTACAGGGCACAAGTGGTTTTTCTTTACATTCACTCAGGTCATGTTTCAGCAGGCAGCAACATGCAAGCGTTAGATGTCGTGATAACATTGTTATAGGCTTCTGCTGTCTGTGCCCGTGACACACTCGCCTCTCTTGAAATGCAGTACAAATATCAGACAGGCTCCAAGGATGGCTAGTCATGAGCAGGAACACAGAACTGGAATCCAAGGTACTATTAACCCAGTTCTCACTAAATGACAAATGTCCTAAGTGCCACAGCTATACAGCTTCATGCTGTGAAACTACAGCAGATGTGACATTCAGGTCTTGGCCTGGTAATATTTTATCTGGGCATCAAGAACATCCACAACTGACTCCAGGGCTACTTCTGCATTGGCTTCAACAGGGACGGGAAAGTGAAATGAATGCAGGCTTGGGCTGACAAGGAGGAACCAGAAGCTAATAGACATTATTGCTTCTGTTTTAAAAGATGCGTCAAACACCTTTTCCCATTCAGACCATGTAAATATCCTTCAAAGCTCTAAAAATGAGTTAATCATACCACTTACGTCCTAATCAAATTGTATACACCCAGCTGTGGTGAGAGAAGTTTCTAGAGGGTGCGCTGGCTTCGGAGGATTTCACAAGGAACTGAGTAATAGTATGCCTTGGTTTCAAAGACTTGCAGTCACACAGGTTGGACGCTTCTTCACCATTTGATATTAAATCCAGTGCTCATTTTCTCCACGGCATGGTACTCCGTATGCAGTATTTTCCCAGCCTTATCGGTGGCTGTGCCACCCAGCCACTGTTCATACAGTTCCTGTATGCTGCCATTTGCCTCTGGAGTTTCAGTCCTGACAGACTCATACGACTGCTCGACTTGCTGAAGTAACTCCTTGCTGGGTTCGCCTTCAGCTCGGAGCTGACCGCCACCATTTAAACAGCCTGGGAGCAACCAGATGAGAAAATAAAAGCTGAAATTACTTCCAAACCCAGTAGTCAAAGCTTACCCAAGAGCAATTAAAGCCCAATGATGCAAACACGATGCAGCTGAGAGCAGCAATGTAAGGCCTCCCACAAGAAAAACTTATTTAATTGATTAGCTTTCACCCCGCAATGATCTGATCCTATAGTAAGGTGGACGCTGCACCTCTAGTGGTCAGGCAGGACTCAATCCTAGTGCAGCAAAGCACAAAGGAGTTATAAGGTGGACAACAGTGCATGGTGGGAAAAGAGACTGCTCTAAACCTTCTTGTTCCACATTGAGAGAGTAGGGAGGGAGCAGGAACTTGTGGCTCTTATTTGGAGCCCGGAAAGCAAACAAACTGAAAAAGAGACTGCCATGATGTTAATTAAAACACTGGAGGTGATGAATGCCTACACAAAACAGCAGTGAGAGGCAGTGGGAGAAGCCTTGAGACTGCTCTGGTTCCAGGCTTACTACTCCTGGTCAGCTGCGTGCTATCTAGGTGGTATCCTGCAACCAGCTGCTCAGTGTTGGACAGCTTACTCCTCTCAGGGATGGGCTGCGATCCAGGGGAGGTAAAGAATGGATGCTCAGAACCGCTGTCTGCTCTGGACTTCTCATAGATGGGTAGATGAAGGCTGAATCCAGCACTCTGAACCCAAAGGATAAGGTGGCAACTCCTAACACCAGAAAGGTAAGAGACTACTATGCAAAGCTGTTTAATACTTTTCTAAATGTTGATTCTTCTAACCCTCTGCAGGCCTGTAGAGGGGATGTTATAAAAGACCTAGGAGGTTGCATGTTGTGAAGATGGAGGAAGGTAAATGACTGATACTCCTAGAAAGAAAGGAAATCAGGTTCTCATGTCCCTAGAAGTTGCTGCCTTTTTTTAAGCTATGCCCATGACTCACTTTTGCCCAATGTAGGAGGTAACATAGCACGAGTTCTATCGAGTGCCCAGAGGTTTACAAAGCTGGGAGGCTTTTTTGAGTACTGCACCAAGTGCTGACATACAGGTTCAATCATGACTGTAAAGTAACTTGCAAAGAACTGCTGACTGCTAGCCTCCAAAAATACATCTGACAGCCTCACTAACTACCTCTAATCACCATACCCCTGACAGACATTCAGGCTCCTGTCCAGCTCTCCGTTTCAGATAACCTCCAAAGTCTCGTACAGTAAACTTCAAAGCCAGCCACGTAATCCCTGGGTAGCCTTACCTGACGGGCAAGCCATGACTTCAACATAATGGTACGGCGACTTTCCTCGCTTCAGCTTTTGCACTAAATTCTGTATGTTCCGAAATCCATAAGCCAAAGCAAACTGTAGCAGAACCACGCCATCCTTCTCCAGTGTCACCTCCTGGAAATCCTTGTTTCTGGGAAACAGAAGCAGACAACATCTATTGTCCAAACTGGTTCTCCACTTTGCTCCTGATAAAAACACTGTGCTGCAACTTCAGTGCTAATACACTTCCAAATGAAGAAGCGCATTTTTTTTTTTTTTGGAAGCGAGGGGGTAACATGGTGAGAGAGCTAACCTCCAAAAATCCTGCTGAACTGGAGGTCCCAGCTCTGCCCCCAATCTAAAAGGAAGCACATTTAAGCTTGAAGATAAATGTTTTCTGGTCTATATAACACAGATGGCACTCGAGCTTATCAGTGTCTCTGCATTAATTTTTCTGCTGTTCAGAGCCGAGACCCAGAGCCACAACGGGGCATTCTGGTATCCTGACTTTCCTCCCCACTTATGCATTTGTGTTCAAGCTCTGAACTCTATCCAGCCTCCTTCCCGTCAAGCGTGTAGGCCTACTGAGCTCCTCGGGTCAGGCCAGCTTGGGCTATCTGACTGGGGAGCACCACACACTGCAAATACCACTTAAGAGATCTCAGAGTCATCTCCGCATCCCGGGGTAGCGGATGCTCTCACCTGCATGACTGCATGGCTGAGTTAGCAAAGACCCTGAGCGAAGAAGCTTTTATGTGAACATTATGGGCTTTCCTGGCTACCCTCAGCCAGCAGGCAAAACAGTGAGGCTGTTTTAAGAAAGAACTATAAGTTGCAGGTAATTCCACCATACAAAAATGGATATTGAAGATATCCAGGTCCTCCAATAACAGATGGAAAAAATGCCCACAGCAAGGGAATGAGTTGGGTGTTTTCATTACACGTGTATTTCGAGGTGGTTGAGGATTGCTTCCGCTCTGGGGCATTCCACTGAGCTAGAAAATGATGTTAAATCAATATGGCTATGCACCATTATAAAACCATAAACAGGGTACATTTAACAGACGTTAGCAAGAGTTTCACTTAGATGCAGGCAGAGAAAAAGGCTTACTTGCCTTGCCGGTGATCTTCCTAGCAACTAGGGGGCCAAAACCCAGAAAGAGAACCCAGATGACACCCACTCATCTAAGCCAGCTGCTGCCAACACTACTGCTAGTGCACCTGCTTTTTAGCGGGTCGGATAAGTGAAAGAGCTCATTTCCAAGAGTTTTGTCATCCAGACTGCTCTCAAGTCCACCGCAGCTTGAGACTGGGAACACTGACAGTGCTAAATTAAAGCATGTGGGTGGTGGGGAAAGGGTGAGGAAGTCATGGAGGGAAATGGCTACACAGACTGGCAGCTGATTTATGGCTAAACTCAATGTGGGAGTAAGCAGCCAATTCCCAGAGCTTGATGCAAAATGTTTAACGTTGGATAAAGACCTTTTTGGGCAGTGGCGCGATAAGAGCATAAACAGAACTGCACTGAGATAGTGCTCTGTGGGCAGCAGCTTTGACTCCTTACTTTAAAGGCTTATAGTGCACTTCAGCTACTTCAATCCCAAAGAGGTCCTTGGCTGCATATCTGTAGATGTGCTCCAGGTAGCCGCCGGACCCACCTCCAGAATGGCCAAGCAGCTCCTCTTCTGCTGTGCTGCTAAACCTAGGGCACAGGGAGGGTAAAGAAGGTAACTACATGGCTTCACTTAATACAGCAGCTGGTGCAAAGCCCATTGTGGCTATGTGGCAGTTTGGTGCGGCTGACTGAGTACTAGTAATAGTCATGACATGCTAACCTTGTCTCCCCCTGCATCTCCCCACATGTGCCTTCAGACAAGTATTGCAAAGTATGTAACAAGGACCTGCAGATTTCAGAAATGATGGTGCACGGCCAGCTGCTTGTTCAGGCCCTTCAAATCCTTCCCCACTCAAACAGCACAAAATATTGACTATTTATAATTCATGGGCCACGTGAATTTAACTGCACATGGGTCAGTACAGGCCTGACTCCAAATCCTTCACAGATGCAACCACTTTGTCTTGGATGTTAGGACCTATCCCAAAAAACACTTGTGCTGGGGAAGTCTGGGACAGCTGAAAAGCATAGAAAGGAGAGATTTCAGCCATCAATTCTGGCCACTTGGTTCCCCCCTTTCTAACCGCACAACTTCTAGGAAGTCAAGGAATGAAAGAAATGAGCCCAAGTCACTTGACCTTTACTTTAGGCTCTTCTAAAAGCTTGCAAACTAAAGGCCAACACTTACAGATGGTCTTAACTGGATCAAGGAAAACGCTGCAATTCAGTCACCCCATAAAGTTTCATCCTGATGATCTGCTGCAATACAACTGGTCATTCAGCTGTTCCTTCTGGAGAAGAGCTCCCAAAATGTAAGCCACAACAATGGCTCTTGTTATAAGATGATAATCAGCTGAGGGATGTGTTTATAACCTTCCTGAACAGCATGACATTGGCTTTCTGTTGCTCACAGCTGCTTGATTTCAGGTCAAATCTAAGATGTCTTTTGCAGATAAAAAAAATCTCAGTTCTAGAAGCACTGCACGACACAACGTTGCACCCTGTAATCATCTTTGGAGCCTATTTTTAACTCGGTTCTTGTTTACAGGAACTGAGATTCATTAATAAGTGCTTCAGTGTGTCTGGCCTCACGTACCGCTGCTCTCTGAAAAGGAGTTTGCCAGTAAGCCACAGCCCCGGGCTAATGCAAACGGTTCCACCAGCAAAGCCGTAGGATGTTTGGCATTTGAACCTCATTCCTGCTGCCAAATTTAATAACCTCTTAATGGCCTCTTCCACGTGTTGAGGGATAAAGTGGAATAACAGCCATTTGACTACTTACATGAATCCTCCCAGGTTTATGGAATACGTGCGGTTTGTGACCAGGTGATTTATCGAGTGGGCTAAGGCTAGCAAAAGGTTACAGAGAAGCATTATTGCCACAAGCATGAGGCGCAGCATGCTGTTCTGATAGCTTAGCCAAAGACTTTATCGAAACACTGGACATCTGATTCCACTTTCTAACTGACACTTCCATCCCACCATTGCATTTTCAAACACTTCAGAATCCCTGTAGGACTTTCCAGTAAGCCTTTAGCAGAGACACAGAAGCAAATGAAATTTAAATGGCCCAGCTACATAGCAGATCTTTCCATGTATACCTGTTGAATTCCTTAAGGTGGCTATTTATAAGAACGACTGCGTCTCCCCTTGGGTTTTTGTTTTAAATGAAAAAAAAAATGTGGTTGGAAGTGGCTACTTTTCCATTTATTGCTTCAGAAGTGTTGGTAAGAAGAGTTTATGTGGTGTTTTTATGATCAAGCAGACCCCGTGCAAGTATAATGCCCCATCCCCAAGGTTTCCTACAGAGCCCTGCCAACATACAGAGCCTAGCCAGACCAACCAGTCCAAAGTGGGATTCTGCTGAATAGAGACTGCTAGGAGTGCTGAGACTTACTATCTTGGCTCCTGTCTATGTGAGGCTTAGGGAAAACCAAGCACAATTTCACTTACAATCTGGATTGAGATAAAGGCCCCAATCCTGTAGGTGAAAGTAGACTGATGGAGCTGCATGGAGTCCCACAGAAATCTGAGCGGGTGCAGTAGTCTGTACGTGTGCCATCAGCTGCAGGGCTGGGGCTTTCAATACCACTCTTGAGCACACCAAGTATTTGTGCACTGGCCACTTAGGTCACATACATCCGCTGTCTTCTCTAAACACTCCTCAACTTCACTGGGTTTGTTAGGCACATGCTGTTTCTTTCTTACAAGGTCATTTTCTACATGCTGATGAAGACGGGTCCTTTCAATTTCATGTTCAACGTGGTATGCTGCAGCTGATGTCAATTTAAGCACATGAAATATGATTTCTAAATCCTCTAGTCTGTATGTGGTTGACATCGAGCCTGCAGGGTCAGTTTTCAGTTAATGCAATTAAAATCTCATCTGCATCGCACATGTTTAAGATAGCATGCTTAAGATAGCATGCTTTATTGAATAAAAGAACTCCCACGGAGTAGCTAAAGTGATCTAGATATATCCTCATTTGAGCTTTAGCAATAGAATATATACAATACTCTGCATGTTGGGGAACACACATGAACTAAGGACAGCAGAGCAGTAGGCTTCTGCATCCCATCAAATTACAGTCTCCATCATTCTACAGCAGGGGTGGCACCGGCAGTCTGTGTGGGGCAGGGACAAGCAACACAGCAGCAGATGGAGCATGGTGCAGAAAGCAGAGCAGCAGCTCAGATGGGGGAAGTGGACTGTAGTGGCAGCAGCAAGGGTGTGGGGGGCAAATTTGTGGCATGCCTGCCAAGAAGGTTGGCCCCCACTGGACTAGAGTATTTACTTTCCCCCTCCAATTGCTTATTAGCTTCCAAGCTTGAAGTAGTTTTTTTTGAGACATTTCAGCAGATAGCGTGTGAGTGTTCGGTATCCAATTATCAAAGACTACCACGTTATCCAAGCTCTTAGGGACTAGTATATTCTAAATGAGCGAATTCACCCAGTCCTGCTGATTTTAGGGCAAACTTACTGCTTGGGTTATGCAAAGCCTGTAACACCCAGTGACTTCATATTCACTGACCTCCTTTTGCGGATCTCCAAATGGCTTGAGGCGTAATCACACTTGAATTCAAAACCCATTAGATGTGAAAGAGAGATTTGGAGTAGAACTTAAGATGCAAAAATCTGTAGCCGTTGTATTGCAAAACTGTTTCAGGAAAGGGGAATTCTGTTGCTGTGTTTAAATAAGAGATCACTAAAGGTGTTAGCAAGGTTATTTGTTCTTACATAGTATCCAAAGCAGCAGCACTCACATCTGACAGGGAGACCCCTTCTTGTTCCATCAACTTCAGGACTTCTCCTAGAACAGAACCCTAGATATAAGTGCTCAATTTCTTCTCCAGCCTCCCTCCCATGCCCCAAACAGAAGAAAGTGTTCATGGGCACAAAACTTGTATTCATAATGGTGCCCTTAGGACAAGTTTTTCATAGCCTAACTTCTTTCTGCGGCACAGCAAAGGGTGTGGTGAAAGAAGCCACCTGAGCCTAGAGAGCTCAGAGGTGAGCATAATGTAATCCTCTCTAACAAAGTTTCACTGTTCCTAAGCTATGGTCAAGTTTAGCTGCAGATGTGCTCCTAAAAACAGGTCACAGGCCACAAGGGCATCTTTACAAAGCGCTGTGTCCCGTGCGCAGTAGTGGAAGGAAAGTCAGCTGGACCATCTCTGGTTCTGCTTACCCGTCGTAATTACACAGTCTACCTCCCTTGTTTGATGCTGTTGGTTGAAAAAGTCTGGCCTTGAAGCCTCTAGTTTTTTGTCGTAACAGGGCATCACTGTCACATGATAGATCTGGTCAGGGGTTAAATGCTGCAAAAAACCCAAGAAGATTGGTTAGTTTCACTGATTTTAAACACAGTGGGAGAGAGAACTGCAAAGGCACAACTGAGAATGAAGCCATTTAACTGCAACCTTACCTTTGGAAATCCTCTCCTTTTAAAAAAACAGATTTAATATCTTTCTGTCCCTACCCAACTGCACAGGAGAAACAGAATCACCATCCGTAGCACGATTCAGTAATACCTTTTCCTGTTTTCTCTACTGAAGCAGATGCTCCTGGCAGGCTCAGGCAGTTGGGAGTCCCTAATTACATGCTTAGTCAGAAGATAAGCTTCCTATACACCATTACAGCCCAGACTGAAAACAAGAACTTATGTTCTGCAAACAGCATTTCCAGCAAACAAACTGAAGGCAGACACCGCACTGAGGTTCACCACCATCCAAGAAACAAGCAGAGGTCAAGGAAACAAGTTTTGAATTTGAGCCACTGTTTCAGTATCTCTTGCCAAATACCTTGAGTCACTGCCAACTTCTGTAACAAGTACACAGATCTCCAAGCTTATTTAACACACATGTTAAAACCGTGCTTGCTAATGGATAATGAATGAAGGCATCAGCAATGTTTTAAGTTTCTTAGTAGACTCAATTCTTGGCTATTAGCATGACACCAGTCTTTAGGCATCAGAATGACACTTGGGAGGAAACGCAGAGGGTTTAAAATATAGAATCGAATTAAATCAAACTGAAATAGAAACATTAAGCTTGGAAAAAGCAGGTAACTTTTAGACAAAGAATGATCTGCATGAATGCACAAACTCAAGTTCTGTCTTAGACACGATCATAGCAGTTTTATTTTAAATTACTTAAATTCTATCAAAATGCACTGGTAAAGCAAATGGGATGGTAAGAAGGGCTACAGAAAATCCTGTTTTACAGTTGTTAAATGACGTGCAGACATTTCAAGCAGCCTTTGGGCACCAAACTTGAAACTGCTACTGATCAGCACTTGCTGGAAGCAGAAAGAAGGTGGAGAGACGGTCACTCTCTAAGAGCAGGCAGAAGTAGGGAGGTGGATGTGGAGGTAAAATGCTTGAAGCAGTATGGTGACAGGATCTCACCTTCAATGCTTTCACACCATTTACAGATCTTCACAGATACAAATGGAGACTACTGTCAGCTGCCTTGCTACCACTCCAACATTTTCACATCAGAAAAATCAGTCTTTTTTAAACCGTTTGAGTCATTTTAAAAGCAACTTAAAATCTAACTTCTGCAGCTTCCTGCCAATCATGGTCAACACCGAACTTTACCTGTTGTTCTGCAAAATAGCCTTTGATTAAAGAGCCCATGACCTGCTGTGGAGACTTGGTTGTACTAATATAAGGAATAATGAAGCTTCCATGGGTTTTCTCAGCATAGCAGATCCAACCTGAGAAGAGATGGGAAGCATATTGATTCACTGCCATGACTTTTAAATCATGTTATCATTTAATAATAATCATTTTCAGTCTCTTCTGCATACAGAATATGTGTAGGCTCTCAATAAAGAGCTTGGGACAAGACTAGTTTCTCAAAGTAACTTGCTCACTTGAAGTTCTAGATCAGGTCTTTTAATTAATCTAATTATTCAAGAACAAGAATATTTCTTTATAAAAGTATTAAAGAACTTTTATAATACACTTTATCATAGAAGTGACTATTTTAAGTTGAACAGACTGCTAAAAGAATCTCAAATAAATAATTGCATGCCACTAAAAGCCATTCTGTTCTTACTTACACGTGGTTTTAGCCAGATTAACATTTTCAGCAGTATACTGCTGCTTTTCTTTACTGATAGTTTGTCCCAGGATTTCATCACTTATCTACCTATAGTTTATATACATTTTAAACGTACCTGGGCAGGCAGAGGCCAACATAGGCAAAGCCCTTTTGTCTTCAGTTTGCCTTCGAAAACGTTTCACAAACTCTCGCTGGCTCTCTAGGAGGCTGAAGTTTCTAGAGAAAGTTGTATCAAACACATAGTGCACACCTAGGTAATACAGGGATTGCAATTAAACTCATGGGCAAAACACTGCAAGCTACAATAAAAACCCCAACCCAGTTAGGTTACATCTTTGTATACGTCCTTTGTTATTTATGGAATGTTGTAACTAGAAGCAGATTGGTTTCCAGCAAATAAGCAGAATAAAGTTGCATTAAAAATGATTTGACGACTGGAAATCATCTAGGTTCCTTCCCTGCCTGCTGAGTTTACGATGCCTTAAAGTTATAGGAGATTGTGAATTTCCATTATTACTATTTTTGAAACAGATGACCAAAGGCTTATTCATGCAGCTCTAATGCAGACTAACAGAATTTGCACTTAAAATATGCTCAGAAGATATGCCTCAGAATTTCCACCTGTGATTTAGACTGTAATGTGCTCACCAAGGTTTTTTAAGAAAGCTGTCAGTTTCTTTGCTGTTTCTAGAGGATTCATCTTAAATCTCACAGCTAGAGATGCCCTGGATTGTGGTGAAACAGAAATTACAATCAGCTTCTGTTCACTCGGAGCTGCTGTCTGAAAAACAAGAGATAAAACATTAACGTTCCCTGGACAGTTATACTGCAGAGTAACTGGTATCTGTTAGCATGTCAGTGTTTTTTAAGATGCTTCTCCGTGGTCTGAATGTGTTCTGGTTAAGGTTTTTTCTAGTGATGAGATAGTTACACTCACTAGAAGCTATGCTTTATATTTTTACATCCAGGGATCACAAGTTTTAAATATTAAGTCTTTTATAAATCTACACCAAATTTCTTAATGGATGCAATAGATTGATGTATTGTACTGAGAGAAGAAATACTACAGTTAGTTCTGGGTCTTACAGAACTTACAACTTCAGATTCTACTATTTTCACATCAGCTTCTCAAACATGGTGTCATTTTCAAATCCTTCAGTCTATCCTGCTGTTTAGTGAACCGCTTAGTTCATTTACCTTATTAAAACTTAATGCTTTGTAGAGTTCTTCATGGCTTTGCTGGGTGATTAACACACTTTCTGCTGAGGTGATGCAGCCACTACAAGCTAGACAGTCATTCAGGGTAATTTTAGCCTTTTCAAGCTTTTTTGTTCCTCCATCCTAGAAAGAAAAAGTTTAGCTCCAGTCCCAGCCATAAAAAAAAAACCCACTAGTTGCTTGCAACATCTATAGCTTTAAACATAAAAGATATTGCCTCTTTTCATCTCTATACACTGTATGCAAATATGCATTAGTGGAATCTCTGCATTTTAGTGCCATGATGAAGATAGATCAGAGAAATGTCAGTGAGGACATGCACCACGTCAAATCCGCTATTTTGGACTCAGGATATCACTCGCTCACTAACTTTGACGTTAATTGTTCTTACATTAACAGAATTGCAAAAAGTGGTGTATTTCACTATTTCAGAGCTCAGATGACACAAGGTTTACAGCTGTAGATTCAGATTACAAAACTGGGACAGTAAAAGTGATGGTCTCCCATTTCACTATATAATTCTAGGAAGAAAGATACATTTTTCAATATGAAAAGTACCCAAGAGGGTTGGCCACAAAGCTAACTGTTTATTGTCATGTCTTCACTGTCCCCACAATCTGAGATGCTTAGTAGTTGTAAACCTATTAAATACACAACAATAAGGCAATTTCTGACTCTTTTACACAAGTGGGAAGACGCTACCTGATTGATCTGAAAGTAGCTTCCATCATCTTCAATTTGGATCCTAGCTGCTGCTTTTCCAGGTTTCTTTTCAACTTTTATTGGCTTTACGCATTCCTGAAACAGAACTAAAACTAAAATATGGAAGAGGCAAGAGAGGAAAAGACTAATTGCAACTTGGCAGAATTAGCAAACAATCCTACAGTTTCTGTAGTTATCAAGGAGATGAGCAAAAGAAGGTTACAAAAGTACGTACCCCATTTTTACAGAAGGAACACTTTTCCAGCATCATGCCAAAACCAGTACGGTTTTGCTGTCTCTATCAAACACGCAGCTGTGTTTAAAGAAGTCTTGCTCCAAACAGATGCTGGTCTGCAAAGTCCTGTCTTCTCTAAACTCTCTAAGGGTGATCGTGCATGCTTCATGTGAATGTTAGCAGCTGGAGGCGTGGTCATTACAGTCAACAAGCAGCTACTGCCAGTGAGATTTCATTTGATAGAAGGAAATCTGATGACTTTATATGCCTTGTTCCCAGCTCACTCTGTTCAAGTTCATCAACTGAAGTTTTGAGGGTGTTTTTATACTTGAAACTTTTTACTGTTTATGCAACCAGTTCCTTTCTCTACATCTGACCAGCACCATACCTAGAACTCAGCCACAGCTTAAACCAACCTTGCCCTGGCTGAATGCTCAAGCATGTTTCCATCATGATGGCAATCTTGCTTGTACAGTTTTATTAAGTCTTTGCTCTGAATTTGGGGAGATTCACAGAAAGCTCTCCCTGCGGAGGACCAATTCATGCTGGTGCTCAATGAATCAAAAAACAACAACACGGATTTGCTATTTTAGTACGGTAAGAAGAGCCATACCCAATTCATTGTGTGGGTGGGAAACGTCACAGGAAAACTCAAGTGCTGCAACAAGTGACGATGAGGACACCATTTATGCTACAGACCTCTAACCCCAATCTTCCCCCTTTGTGCTGCTTTGTTGGCTATTCCCTCTCCTCAATGTCACTTTTCTATTTGTGGTGACAATTAAATCTCTCACTTCCCTGCCTTCTTCCCTCCTCTTAATCCCTCCACACTGTAACTACTGTGTGTAGCATCCCTTCTCCCCTTCTATTTCAGCTCTCTTTTTAATCTCTTCCTCTATATATGGAAGTTGTGTAGCTTAGTGCCTGATGCCTTCCTAAGGGCAGAAACACTTAGAGGAATCAAAGGGGTTTTAAAAGACAGCTGGAATCCACTCACTGCAAGAATTTATTAATAGTTTCATAGTTTCTAGGGTC